CGCTGGGTGGTGAGAATCTAAAGCAGATTTCAAAACACCTCATTAAGCACACACACAAATGAAATCCTCACAGTGCCGGGGGAAGCAAACATGAACCAGAGGGTGTTTAGAGCTTTCAATGTCTGTGCAAAGCAAGGAGGCTGACGGCTGGATTTCCCTTTAGTGCGTATTCGCTCGCTTTCTCTCTTTCACCCTGCTTTCAGCCTTAGGATACTGCGGGGTCCTTGGGCTTGGGCTGCTCAGTCCCCGACAAGAGAGAGATGGTGGGATCTTCTGAGTACTCGTCTCCATCCGTGAAATATGGCCCTTCGCCCAGCTCAAAGAATATTGGCAGGTCTCCGCTCCCCATGTCGACAGCGCTCGAGTCCACCAGGAAGAGGGGCTGGGCGGTGTAGTGCACCAGCTGCTTTCCTGCAAAGAGAGAGTTTGCGCTAGGCTAGCGCCTTTCGGAAAGCGGGAAAGGGGCTGGGCAGGAGCGCGTGCTGCAGCAGCCAGGCAGCCGAAAGCTGAGCAGAAGAACGACAGCTACAAGCTTTCGCTCCTGCAAAGTGACTGCCCGCACCAACTGCTTCCTCACCTCTCGCAAGGAGCAGCGCAGAGTCCTCACCTCACCGTTTAAGCGATGAGATACCGGGACTCGGGCAAGGCCCTCTGGCAAATCAGCCGAGAACAAGAATTTGACCGTAGCAAGGCCTCGCTTCCAGCCCGTTCTCCGGAACGTGCTCTCTCGAGACTGGAGAGGCACCAACGAGTGACCGATGGCTTTAATGTGCCTACATGGACACACTGACAGCCCAGGGAGCATGCCCTGCCTAGGCTGTGAGATGTGTTGAGGTTGCCACAAAAAGCAGCACCGTGACAACACGTGCAATTCCATGTAGACAGAAATACGTATTTTGGGAGCAGCCCAAACGATTTTGCCACAGCCTCAATTCTTGTGCTACTGGGTCACTAAACACCGAGACGGCCACCTTGTACCTGTGTTCGCTGTGCTGGCCTCTGTCTCAGTAGGTTTCTGCTGTTCCTGGGATGAAAGGAGATCCTGAATCTGCAGGGAGAAAAGTTGGGTCGGTCAGCGCATTGCCCGGGTCAAACGTGCATGGGACCATGCAAACAGAGAGAACGGTTCTCTGTGCCCGCCTCAGGACTGAGCTAACACACAAATCGCACAAGGAAAGCAGTGGTTTACGATCTCAAAACCTCACTACTCAGAGAGAGACATCCTCAGAGGTTTAAAAACATCCAAGACCCAGAAGGCTGCCAGTGACCTGCTGCAGATCCAGATGCAGTCTGTTCAGTGTGCTCCGGTGCCCAGGTCGCAAATGTGACTGATACGAGCAGTTTTACAACAGAGAACTCGACGGGCCACGTGTGCTTTCACAGATCATCTCTGCTATATGCAAAGGCCCTTATCTGCAATGCTCCCTTTGATCACAGCATGAAGCCAACCTACACCTTGGGACCTAAAATCCCAGGGAAGCCCTCAGGAGACGTCTGGGAGGGGTCCTGTTTTATTGAAAGACTTATTGCTAGTAGGAGTCTATGAGAGAGCTGCTAGGCACCCTGCTAAGTTGTCAGAGTGACCTACGGTGTGGCTAACTAAGGACACAATCTTGTTTCACGTCTCTGTCCAACAAGCAAGACGGCCCTGGAAAGGGCAAGAAGTGAGTGTTAAATAAAGGGGGGAAAAAATTGGAAGTGGGAGAAACCACTCTGCCCACCTGAGAAGCTCTGATAACTGTAAAGCCCCGAGGGAAACCCTGCTGTTCACAGCGCTAACGTGCCGCCTGGGAAACACCGTGCTGAGCCTGCTAGTGCCAGACCTGGGCAGGCAGCTGAGCTGAGATCAGGACCCTTCACCTGGGCCACTGTGAGGACAACACTTTCACAGAGACTCCACTTTCCCTCTCTGGATTTTCCTAATAATCTTGTGGCTACTACAGCAACTGCTTTCATGGAAAAGTTACCTTAACCGGTATTTAAATGCGTATTTAGCTTTTTTTTTTTTTTTTTTTTTTACTGCTTAGCAACTGGTACTAAGCAGACCACTTGCGATCACAGAGGTCTTCCCAAGACCATCTGTCCACGATTTAGGAACTCTGCAGCTCAACCTGCACCCAGCATGGGGATGTTCATAGTGTGAAGGCTGGGTGAAGACACAGCCCAATAAAACTCCCCTCCCAACATTATGCAGAAGAAGAGATAAATACATATACAAGTGACCTTGATCCAAACCCTATGTGAGCTGCAGAGATAACCTGTGAATTACAACGGACTCCAGTTAGGACTCCATTAGTAAATCATAATTCCAGATTTTCTATGGTGTAACTATCAGCTCAAAGCTGGGAAAATCCCAAAATGAAGCAACTCATTTCTGAATTACGGAATCTTCACTGCTCATGTTCTTCCCCCACATGCCACTGATCCCTTGTCCTTTTCTCCCTGCTCTGCCAGGACCAACCCTGGCCTCTGGCTCTACCTAGCAGCTGCTGTGGTAAGAGTCTTGAGCCTGCAGGAAACTTAGTTAAACAACTTACAGGGTAGATATTGGTCTGCATATGTGTAAAACAGTACTCTGCATCTTTGCACTAATCCCCTCCCCACCTTTTTTTTCCTGCAAATATCCAAAGAACTCGGTACTTCGTTAGCCGTCAGGTGTCTAAACTGCACCACTAGGCAGTAGGAAGAAACAAAAAAGTAAGGAAAATGTCCAGCAAGTGATAAGCACTAGAGATAGTGCAGAATTATTAACTGCAAAGTCCTGTTCTGTGTTTTACCAAACATCCCAGAAACACTCTAGAGCGGGGGAAGGTCTATCCTGAAGAGCTCATGGCAATTGTTTCGCTTAGGGAAAAGCTATAAGGACTCTGAAAGTGTATTTTAGAAAGGGAGATTAGAGAGGTGCTATCCCTGCTGTCCCTGCTCCATAACATCAACATTAACACCTTCTTCCCAGCCACCCCAGGAGCATGCTTTGAATCACCTGTGGGCCCACAAGGTCCTCAATAAAGAGACTGAAGTTGGGCTTTCCTATTTTGCAAAAACTTTCAAGACGTTTCCTGTTCCGCACTGACGGAAAAAACAAGAGGCCTTTGTACTTTTTTCAGATTAAAAAAAAAAAATAGAAAAAAGAGAGGGAGAGAGAGGGAGAGAGGGGATTAGAGACTAAACGAGAGACTCATGCTCGCTGTACCAACTGGAAAAGGAGTCCCCTGTTCTGCCTGATTTGGACCTGCTTTGTTCCCCTGCACTCATAGCAACTTCCCCAATGTCCAAACTTTTGTTTATCTTGGTCTCCCTCTCAACGTTTCCTCAAGGAGTTCTTCCATTTTGTGCAAATATCGATACGCTTGCTGGGCCAGAGAAAGAGGCCGGCTCTGTCGCCCCACAGCTGGAGCACGCACCCACCCAGCTGGCAGAACACCGGGGCTCGAGTTACTGGTCTGCCTCAGGGCAGGAAAATGGACTTGGCTCTGCCTCAGCCCAAGAGCACTCTGGGCATCAGGCTACTGGCTACTCTGAAGGTCTGGGACTCTCTGTTTTTGACCATAAATTCCACCCTGCTGCTCCAATGCCTTCTCAATGCAGCCGTGAAATGTTGCATTTGACTAATCATCATTATCTGAGGAAAAAATCATTTTATCAGGCAACACTGGCTCTTGCAGAGAGAGCCGGTATTAGTCCCCTGCATGGTATTCAGTGCTGATGCTATGCAAGTAAATAAAATAAATAATACAGCACATGATGGAGTTCGCCTTGAGAAAACCTCTTGACGATTTAAGAAAGTCCAAAGCAGGGTTTATGGAAACCACATGCAGCTCTACAGGCTTCAGTGCGATTCCATGTTCAGGGGGCAGAGCTCACATGAGAGATGGAAGTCTCAGCACCTAATTAACTGAGTATGAATGATGAAGTAGCCCTGTTCTCTGTATGAGCTGCTCAGAGAAAGCCGCAGCGCTAATTGAATTATTTCCCCCCGGTGGCTCCCCAAGCCCTCGCAGGGCTCCGTGTTCCTCCTCTCTCCCACGTTCCCTCCCTTCAGGCTGGGGCTGGCCTGGACACTCTTCAGAGCCTGTCAGAGCCTTCCTTTAATCACATGGCGAGGTTGCTGCGGAACAGCAGGACGCACTTCATTCTGGCAGCTGTGTGTGCATGGAGGGATTTTCAACAGCTACTCACACTGGCAAGGCTGCTGTCCAGGTCGGGAAGGTTCATGTCTGTAACCGTCATTGAAGGGCTAAACAGCTGCCAAAGGGTAGGGAAGGAAAGCAAACCCAGGTGTGCTGTGGAAATTCATGGTTGATGCTACTGTGGTCCATCTGCCACTGCAAGCCACATGCACATGGTACTGCAAGACGCAGCTGGGGCCCAGCTCCTGGAAGGACAGGCAGGAGGGAGGCGATACTCACATCTAATAGCGCGCTTGTGTCTACGCTGAAGCCGTGCGTGGTCAACATCGTCTGAAGGTTATCCAGGTTGGAATCAATGGTATCCAGATGGTCATTAAGTTCATTCCTGTGCAAAAGAAAGACAAGCACGGACGATCAACGCTGAGAAGCCCCTCCCAGGTTCTCGGCTACTAAGGGCGCTTTGTCAACCCAAGGAACGCTACCCTCCTATAACCTGAGCAGGAAAGCGGAGCTGGGATTCATGGCTCTTTGCACGGACGCCAGCTCCAACTGCCAGCGAGGACAAATGTAGTGATACAACGTGAGTCTCTGTCCTTGGGCTTGAACTTAGCGACATTGCTAGGACTCTTCCGACTGAGAGGCCTGAGGGGGAACAACTCGGATGAACGAGACACAGTGAATTTCGTTTGAGCCCTAGGACTTTTGCAAGCCATTTAGATTTTGTGGTTAAGGTGCTAGGTAAGCACCAACCACCACGGGCTGGCAGGGATCTCAGTGCAGCTCTGCCTTTGCAGTAAGTAGCTTTGGACCCTTTCTTCAGTCCAAACAGAAGGATCACTTCTGCTTGTCTCATCCTTGTAGCTGATATTTGACAAAGAAAGGGTAACAAACCTTCCCTACTGCAAGAACTTGGTTTAGGGGAAAAATTTCAGAGACCACTGCTGGCCAGGGGAAACCTGCACATCTGGGTTGGCAACGGGGAAAACGTCATTTGTTCATCAGGAAACGTAGTTTCTAGTAACAACGCAGGGAACTTAAAGCATCTTCCATTTACCTGGGGGAACAAACCTTCCCACTGCATCCTGACCTGCACACACCCCTGCACGGCTCCTGGCAGTACCAGGGACTGTACAGCTACACAGCGGGGCATGGGGAAGCACAAAGTTCCCACATGAATCACAGCTCGCTTCCTAGCAAACAGCAACAGCTCCAGATAAGGACTAAGAGCGGAATTCGTCTCAGCTAAATTAGTAAGTGAAAACAGACACCTTGTCAAAGCCAGGCTCCCTCTATAATCACCTGGAAATTGGACACTGCTGAGATGGACCGGCACTGGAGTGCCAAACCCACAAGCAAGGCCCTAGGACAAACAAGGCCAGCTCAGACAACACGGCTCGTTCCCTTCTACAAAGTTCTCGGATAACACTGCAGACCAAAGTGGATGCCAGAGAGCAAGCAATTCTGGTAAGGATTATTTTTAACGGACTTAGACCTAGGACTGCTAGACTGAGCTCCAGAGAATGGTCATGTGGATAGCAGAAAGACAGTAAAAGCTGCAGAGGCAACGATGACGTGGGGGAACTGACTCCATGCTCTTTTACGCTCTAGCTCCATGGTGTTCGTGGCATTTCAGAGTAACAGAAGAAAGTGGATGCCAGAAACCTCACGGTGGTACCAGGATGTAGCTACTATGACGTAGCACCATGAGGCTCTCTAAAGAGCATGCTTGGGAAGAACAGTCAGTTTGGTAGTGGCTCAGGGCCCGACCCACGGCCCTAGTGAAAAGCCACTAAATTTGGCAAAATTAGCAGGAGCAGGCTCAGCTTATCATACTGTCATTAGTTCTGGCACGGCTCCATGTTTGAGTCACCGAGTTCTCTGACCTAGAAAGACTTGTTTTTTTGGCTACTGAGGGTGCTCACAGTAGGACTGGCGGTGTAGGTCCCACGTAGGGAAAACCAACACTGGTAGCTGAAGAGGAAGTTGTCGGAGAGGCACAAGAACACACACCCAAGCATGAGGCAAACACTGAAGCAGCAGTCTTCAGTCTCATGTGAATTAGAGAAAAGTGAAGAAGCTACTTCTCCTCTTCTTTGAGGGTCTGTACTTGCTGTAGAGCTTGTCCGTCCAAATAACACTGCCACCAGTATCCTGCAGAACAGCATTTCTGTGATTATCCCTTTGGGGAGCCTACCATCCCAGAGCCTACACACTGCTGCAGACGACACCTGATTGCAAAGGTACGTATTCTAATGTAATACCGGCAGCTCCAGCATCCCTTGCCTACCTAGTCACCTACAGGCCCAGCGCATCCTGCATGAATAACTGTGGCTGGCCATATCAGAACTTTGTGGCAATGTCTCTTTTACATTCGCCTACCCTAGAACACCACCGTGAAGATCACAAAACCAAGACTATTTTGCTATTGCTGCTAAACACTGAAAGAGGCTACAAGGTCACATCACAGCTAAGGAAGCCTAGCAGCAGAAATGAGTATGTTGCCAGACCAACAAATATACTCATTCTGGGAATACGGTGCTTGAGGCCACAGGAAGGCTGGCTGCAGACACAGCCCATGAACACATTCCTGCCTTACGTCTCCAACGCACGCAAGTGGGAGCTGCAGAGATTTGCAGTTCTTTTTTAGAATTAAGATATACAAACACTCTGCAAATAAATTACGCATCCAAGTTTGTGCTTTTAAATGACTTCTGAAGTCCTTATTGCACAGCACCTGAAACGCTCTGACAGATTTAGGATATTTTCAGTAATTCCACAGTTAGTAACTTCCAGCATTGTGGAATGGATGAGGTCCAGCCAAGATAGCATTAGAAACCGCAAAGCGTTACCTGCGACAAGCTTCTCTGCTCGTTCCTGAGAGGACAGAGTACAGGAAAGGGTATGAGCCAGACCATGCAACAAGAGACTTTGGGATTAGACTACTAACAAACTCCAGATCTTCAAAGCAACTCTCCCTGCTTCTTCGCAGAAGGAAAGAAGGGGATTGAACCACCATTTTCAACACTGGACAGGCACTTGGCAACTGCTCTCCAGTTCCCAACACTGCTTGCAGGTAAATCTCTCCCCATAGGTCAGGCTCTGGTTGTGCTGAGCTGCATTCTACATCAAGTTAGGCTTGCCATCAAGTGCTCACAGAGCAGGGAAGAAAGAGGGAGTATGATTCTCTGGAGCAACACATTTTTGCTTCACTTCCTAAGTGCGTTGTGGCTTGAAGTAAGAGGAACCAATGTCTCCAGGGGAGATTAGAGAGAGGTTGCTGCATAAGACACTGGGATGCAGGGAGTCCTGAGGACTCCGTAAGATTTGCGTTTGTGCCCTTCAAGGTCAACGGCTCCAAGAAGCGGCCCGAGCCAAACGTGAGGAGGATGAGAGGCAAGGAGCAGAACGCAAGAAGACTATCTTCAGTGCTGAAACGGATCAACACCTTTCTTCAAAGATACTGCATATTGATATTCCAGCAAAAGGGCTTTCTGACCCCAGCAGCCCACAGAAGAGTAAATTTTCTGGAAATAAAGAACCCAGAAGTAGCACATGAGATACAGCATCTGCTAACCCTATTGCACTGGACTTCATTAACTGCGGGAAGAGACAGGGAGTTCTGACATGAAGGCCCCACCAAATCACTGTAGGAGACCATGTAACCAGTATTAGGCCCTTAAAATAACTGCTGAGTTCCTGGGAAACGTGACAGATTTAGGACTGAATACACTAAGTGACCCCAGGTATGCGGATGCGCAGGGAAAGGAGGCCCGGATACATTTTGGAGGTAAAGAATAACCCTATCCTAAGCACAACCCTTGGATGTTTCTTAAATGCAAGTTCTGGCTCTGCTTCCTCTGCTTCACACTCTCCATCCACGTACTCAGTATAACACAGTGCATCTTCGCTGTAAACTCTCGGCGACTCATTCTGCTTTCTGGCTGCCAACTACCTCATAAGAATAACAAATCTCTGCTGTGCACCGCACCTCACTTGAGCACCACTTCCTCGGCTCCCATGGGCAGCCTCAAAGACCACGTGCTATTGCGAGACCCTTGCTGTCTGAGTTTCCATCTGATGAAGTGAGGAGAGCTAGTTTGCGTGGTGTGGTCTCTCTTTGTGTGGGCTGTTTCACAGTCTGAGAAGCAGCTATGTAAAAATAGCACCTTCTTACTCAACAGATCCGCTCTCTGTGGGTCTGCCTCAGACTTCAATGTACTTTCTTTTTCAGCAGAAAGATGTGTTTAATACCGATGCCATGGTGGCTCTGGACGCTGTGGGAGAGCAAGCCCGAGTATGCTGCGCCAACTACGCTGCCAGGGAAGCCTTGACCATAGAATCTTTATTATGACTGAGGGAGGCAGCGGAAAGCATGCGACTTGCCTCTTCCTCTGCTGCAAACGAGCAGAGCTGGCAGCCCGGAGCAGCAGCTTTTTATTGGTGAAAAGGCACATTTTGATATGGACATTGCTGAAAGAGCGATCCATCTGCCAGACCGTTATGAGGCCTCCAGAACTGCTCCTTGCCATAACCGTAGTTGTGTTTCAGCTGGCTGGCAGCTGTAAATGAGCCCAGTCAATGCTCAGCACCACTGCTCACCCTAGCATGATCCATGGCCATGGTGAGAACATCTTTCCCAGTTAGGGCCTGGAGTTCTTGTGGAGCTACCAGTGCAACGTTCTCAGATGTCCATCAAACACCGTCAGTGCGTCAGCAGAGAGCAGCTTCCAGGGTCCCTGACCTGGCTCCCCTCCCTAGCAGAGCTGCTGGTCCCTTCTGAACTTTAACAACTAGAGGGTGCTGGCTATTTCCTAGAAAGAGCTGATTGGATACTAGACATTTCTAGTCAATAGACTACCTCCAGTCTTCTGACTTTGAAGCACTGGGAAGATGTACAAAACTGTTTTTGTTCCCTGTATCATTTTCCTTTTCAAATGTCCCATTGTCTGAAAGCAAGAAGATAGAGCACATTGGCGTGATTATCACGTTTATATAGGAAGAGAGCAGTCCTCTGGACCCTGCAGTCCCTTCAGGAAAAGGTCATCCTTGTGCTGTGTGTTTGCATCTAGGAAACGGGCTCGGTGTGTAAGAGAGCAGACCCCAGGTCCCACCTGCATGCAGACAATAACCAGGGTAGGAACTAACAATTCCTACAAGGACTCCCTCTGACATAACCCCTTGCGGGGACACCAGACATTAATTTAGAAATGCATTTTTATCTCAAGGCAGAGCACATTTGTCTTTCGAATTATTCCTTACCTTAGCAAAAACCATGTAAGGGCAACACCTCTCAGAATTTTTCCTAGGCCTCCACTATTAGCTACTGTGGGAGAAAGGATACTGGCCTAGACAGATCTTTGTCCTCATCTGGGATGTTTTTTCTTATGGAAAAGCTTTATTACTATAGCATCTTGGTGCGCAGTCAGGTTTGCAGTGGGAAGTTTCATTGTTCTGTCATTATCATAAGAAACGGAGAACACATCAGAAAAGTCATTTAAGCCCTGAGCTCCCATCACATTTCAATGAAACACTTTATTACTTAGGTGTGTGAATTCCATGCTGGCAAGAGCTACCAAACCAGCAGCTCTCAGGGCTGAAGTTTCCGTTTACCAAAAACAGGTACAGCATGGACAACAGCGGAGCAGACCTCCCTCCGTTCCCTGCCAAGACCACCTAAAAGGATAAGAAGCGGTTTAGCCTCTGCTGGCCATTCAACACTTCTACTTGCTGTGTTGAGCTGGCCAAGAAGGCTGCCACTCAGTGCCAATTTTCAGAGTGAGTTTTTTTCTTGTCGATATGCTACCTATAACATCACGACTGCTGGGAAAGCTGACTTCAAGGCAAGGACAGCTCCCTGTTTAGAGCAGTATTCCCCTGCTCTCTTGCCCAGAATTACAATGCTTGGGGACAGCAGGCTATTGAAATGCTAACCCTTGCTGTGATCTGCAATGAAGTGAGGAAGAGGAAGAACTGGGGCAAAGACGAGTGACCTCTGACATCTGCGATGTGCGAGTCAAACTGAAAAATACAAACAGAAGAGGATACTAGATTCAAAAGACTCACAATCAGGCACTTTCAGGAATGAAATGTTTGTTACGTTCAAAGGCAAGAACAATTAATCAACCATGCTCCTGCATTTCAAGCGGCGTGTTAAGCGCTGCACTGCAGTTGTGTTGCTGCAGTGCTTCTAAAGCAGGCAAGCAGTTTCAGGCTGGCAGAATTATTATTAACAATAAAAACAAACAAATAGAAACAAACAGTCCTGCAAAAGCAAGTGAAGACAGCACAGCTCCTTTGCAGCATAGCCAAGCACAGTTAGAAGTTTCTCAGGAAGACAAACTTATTTCTGAGGTGGGTTTGCTACGTTAACTTCTGCAGCATGGCACTAACGTGTGGCTCACAGTCACTGTCACCTCTAACATAGAGCCGAAGCTCTGGGAAAACACAGGCCCTGGCACACAATGCTCTGTTTAGAATGACAGTGGCCTGCGACTCCACGGGATATATGTCATAGTAACAATGTAGGTGGCAACATTTTTCAATATGTAGTGGGCTTTGGCTCTTGAAAAGTGGCTAATATAGGCCCACAGGTGGACAGCCTTTGGGCAACACTGTCCAGCTTTTTTCCATGCAAGCACGTCCTTTTATAGCCTGAATCTCAGCACTATCACCTTGCGCTGAAATGCTGTTGGTCACGTGCAGGTAATTCTCAGTTCAAATAAAACTCCCCCTGGATCACAAAGAGGCACTGCATGCCATGACCTGCAGCCTTACGGGCTGTTCTTCTCCGGTAAATTTGAGAATGACTGAAACCTGCTTCATGTGATGAAAAATAGGTATCGCTGACACTTCTGGGTTAGGCTGTCAGTGCCTGGGTCAAGTGAGCAGCGTTTGGGCTCCCTGTCATATTTTAAAGTCACCTACCATCTGTTAACACTTCCCTTATTACAGGCATCTCCATACAGTGAGCAAGCTCCTTGGAATTTAACAGAAGCCTCACGGAAAGGGTGCTGAACGGTAGCGCACCCTTGGTACAGTGCATGCGGTGCACTAGTGCACGCGGCTTGTTGGTCCCAAAGTCCGAGGAGTGAGCACTAAGCGGCGAGCTCTGACCACAGCGCGGGGCACACGGCGAGACTGCGTCCCTTGGCATAGGACGCTGAAGAAGGGTCTGATGTACTCCTGGGGACATGATAAACAGTGTGCTGCCCATTTAAAACAGCGCATTGCCAACATTTCAATTAGCAAGTCATCCTTTCTTCCTGCTCAGGACATCTCAGTGTAAATCATGCTCTGGTCACACCACTTCCCACCGGGTACCTACGACTGCTGGTAGGCTTCTACTGCTGCTCTGCACAAGCAGACACGTGGTACCCCCTCCCGGAGTTTGTATTGCTCTGACGTAACAGGAGGCACAGCGTTCAGTAACTCCAGTGTACGAAAAAGCATGCAGAGGCGCTGAGGCACAAAGCTAGTACCATCCAAAGCCAGGTAAGAGCGGAGGCTTGGCTTTGTTCTTATTATCTACCCCTTGCCTTTGAACTCCCTGGGGCGGGGACGGATTTTCTGTTAAATGGTTATGCTCCGTCTAGCGCTGCAGGCTGTTGGCCGATGCGGACTACCCACAGCAAGCTACAGCTCCTCTTACACAAATTCATGTGGCAAACATGCTAGGAGCTGGGAGGTGAGACAGTATTACTACGCGGCTAGGAATCTTTACTGGCCAGATTCCTTCCTTTTGTAATATGCCCTCTAAAGGAACCGCAAAGAGAAAAAACGAGCAGTGTTGCTTGCAAAGTGCTGGAGTAAGAGCACCAAAGGAAGAGGAAGTCCTTTCTTTCATGTAACTCTATGAAGCTCTCTAGGAGGAACCATGGAGCTCGCTCGCCACAGGGGCAGGGGCAACTGTTTTGTGTTGTTGTGTCCTTTGCCTGCTGCTGCACAGTCTGCAAGACAGACCTTAACAATTCAGAAACGCTCTCTGCAGCACTCTTTCTTTCATTTTTATTACCTTCTAAATGGCTAGTTTCAGCTTCTGATGAGCTGCACCATAAGATCTGTCTCTTTTTAAGGACAGCTTGTATTGGCGAAATGGACTGCAGTGCCCTGGAGAGGTCTATAAATAGGTGAAGCTACAGACAAAGTTCTCCCACAAGGCCAAGAGCGAGGAGCAAGCAGGCATTTCCTGACTCTGCGTGAGACAGGTGTAAACGCAGCTAACGTTGTGCCACTGCCCTGCCAACAGGCCATAGTCCTTGCTGTGGCAAGGCCACCTTCAGCTGTCTCTGCGCTCACTGTACCGTGTCAAAGGAAGAGGGATTCTTCCACAGGTTTTGCCTTTGCTTCATGTAGAGCTACGATCCACTGCAGCTCTGAAAGCGATGGCTGACACAGAATTCGTTCAGAGGGAAGCAAAGATGTCACGACACCATCACCTTGAGCGCACGAGCCCGTTGGGAGCCTTTTGGCTAAAGGAGCTCCCTCCTGCCTTCTCGGACACTGAAACTAATTGTGTCTTCCTCAGACTGCTTTCATACTTTGAGGACAGAAAGTCTGTCTAGGTATTCAGAGGGAAGAGGTTAACTCTGATGCTCTGTTTTCCCCAGAACACAGGGACAATGGAATGTGGCCGAGATGTCAGCATGGTCGAGGGAGAATGTCTTGGCGTATTGATATGTACAAACAACTTTCTAGCTTTTCCACGCTTGCAGTTACAGACGTGAGCACTATGTGGTGATAAAAGACATGAGACTACACGTTTGCTCCCTAAAAAAATAGCCAGCCATCAACTTTCAGTCTGCCACCCACTGAGTCCCCCCCTCAGTTTAATGCAATCTGTGTCCTAATGAGTAAAGAGGCTGAGTAGGAGAATGTATTTATCATGACTAGAACCAGGGAGTGGGTGCAAACAATAGTTTGATGTGAAGCTTCCTCCCTTACTTACTTGGAGGGCAGCTGGGACAGGCAAAAGCAGAGGACAGCGTAGGGGCAACGTCAGAGCACATGTGGTCAGAGCAGTCTCATGGAGAAATGCTGCCCACAGCACTTCTAAGTCTAAAGAAATGGTAAACCCCCTGGGATTAAAGTTCCTAGCAAGCAACACTGGAAGCTGCTTGCACTGTATGTCTGTCAGCTGCCTTTGGACTGCAAAGACAAAGCAGAAGCTTTCATGCTGTGAGGATGTGCTGGGTTGATCCTGTGCTAGGCTCAAGATGAAATACAGCTAATTTTACAGTGACTCATTTCTATACTGGAGGAGCAGACAGCTTGAACAAGCTCTTGTCCAGCACAGTTCTTATTTTGGCATCCCAGTTCATGTATGCTCTGGCAGCCGAGGTTTGGGCCCCCTACACAGGGGGCAAATTCTCCGTATGGAGTCCGGTGATGGGCTATACTCACTGCTTCGAGCAGAATAGGAATAGGAGAGCAAAATATCAACCCTGGCATTTGCACGGAGGGCCATGATCAGAGCCACAGGCGAGTTCCTTGGACAAATGAAATTGCTTCCAAAGCTGGCTGGAAGCCAGGTTACTTGCATCTTTAAAGCTTAACAGTACAGAGCGGTGGGATGGCTGGCAAGACCTTAGCTCAGCCAATCTCAGCGTGGAACTTACTTGTCGAGGCAGGCAACGCTGAGGCACTTTTCCTGGGGCTGAGGCTGTGTGTTGCTGTCGCCAGTGGCAGCGGTCGTAGTGCTGGGTTCGTTCTCCTGCAGGATGGAGTCAATGAACATGGAGGGAGACAGAGGAGTTTCAACAGCAGGAGGGTTCCCAGGGCTGGCCTCCTCTATCTGGGGGCTGCGGGAAGGACTAGGGGGTTCTTCTTTGATACGGACCACAGGACTACTCCTTAGAGAAACAGGAAAAGAATGGGTAAAAATCTTGCACCAACGTTCTTCATTTCTAAGATCCGTTTCCACCCAGCAGGACAAAAATCCTCGTGCCTGCTATTGCCTTTCTCACACACAAAGCCTCCAAACAGAGGCAGCTACAAAGATGAGGTTGAAAGAGTACATAAATATTTCTTCTCTGATTCTGATCAGCTCCCCTAGCATGAATGCCTTGTGCTGTTACCACAACCTCAGCAGATTTCCTGTGGCTAAAGGTCTGGGAGGCTGGTCAGTCCAGGGCCTGCCATGCAGTCCGCTCTGCATTGGTTAAGTTATCGTGAGGAAGGCGATTTTTTTTTTTTTTTTTAACCAGTACAGTTAAATCAGTACTGCTTTTGATGTGGACACAGTCTTAACCAGTACAAGGTAGCTCAGCGTATACACTTCTTTAAAGTCACCACTGAGACATGTATGACATAATTATCACCGTACCAGAGGCTGTAGTGTTTTAACTATTCCACCAAGGTAAGTGGAACGACTCCTTTGTGCAGACAAAGCCTAGGATCAACCCTTTGCATAAGCACCCAGGCATTTTGAGGTGCATCTTTTTTTATGAGAAGGGAAAGATGGCTTATTTGGCCAGCCCTAATTTTGCAGATGGAAATCCCTTGCCACCCAAACTCACTGATCTGGGGGTGTAAGACGCCCAACGAGTTCTGCTGGAAAGGACAGCAAATACAAAAGAACAGAGAGAAGGCCCATTAAGCAAACATATGGTCTATATTTAAGAGTGAGTGTTCCTGGCAGAGGGTACTAAAGGCAATAAACGGCATTTGTGGGTGATTCAGCACCTCAGGGGAAGTGCCGATGCCAGGAATAACCTATTAAAGGGGAAGAAAAAAGGAGTCAGCAAGCCATGAGGTGCTAAAGAAAGATGGGCATTTCTTGCCCAGAGGGGCTCAGAAAGTTCAAGAGCCTCTGCTGTTTTGCTGGAACGGGGCTGCAGGGAATAAGGGCACGGCAGCCACGTGAGCGGACCAACGGGAGGCCTCTACTGACAGAGAGTGCTGGTGGCAGAGGCACTCGAGGCTGAGTATTACCTGCGGTGTCTGAATAAAGCTCTCGTGTCTGCTAAGGTACATCTGAACCAGCTGAAAACCCCTGCCGTTGGGTGCTGGCTGAACTGTACTTGCTACAGATTCTCAGCCTCATCCCCCCCTCGCTGCTTGGGGATAGACCTGTCAGTGTTATCCTCAGAGAAGCAGTTCCTTGGGAACACAGCTGCTTTCTATGCCTCCTCCTCTGTGCAGCAAGCTTAAGAGGGCAGGGCAAAACTAAGCCTGCTCCCAGCGTCTTGGTAATTTCACCCCGCTGAGCAGGCAGGCCAGTGAGGGTGGCTTCCTTGTGGAAACACCACTGTGACCCCTCCAGCACAGGTTCACCTTAGAAAGCGGCGGCGGAGCAGTGAATTTTGTTTGTAAGGCCAACCAAACACAGGATTAAAGTTAATCAAAAACAACAACAACAAAAAATCGGCTGGGCAGGCAACGTCCTGAAGGAGTCGATGCTGAGGGATGGGTCCAGCTTCCTGTGAAGTCCTGGTAAGGTAAGCAGGATTAGGTTATAACACCGTGAACGTTCCCTGTCCCAAGGGCTGCAATGTCTTCCAGCCGCCGCTCACTGGGGAGAGTACAGATTCTTAGCAAAAGAGGCACAATGTTACTCTGATGTTTGACCACCCAGCTCAGTGGAAAATGCATTCTCCTGACGAAGATGACTCAAGATTTTATGAGAGCAACAGAATACCTTTCATCGAGACTGCCGCTGGGAGATGCCGAAGGGCTGGACTGGGCTAGCTCTGTCACGTCAGAGATAATGGGACCAGAGTTGGCTGAAGAATCCGGGGAATACAGATTGGAGCCACTATACGCTGGGGAAGAAGCCTGAAATGACAATCACAGTGTTGGTGAGGTAAAGCACTAGGCACAAGCCAAACATAGTCCCACGTATGGGATAGGGAGGGGGAAGGAGATGCATCAAAACACTGCAAAATCCTGACCCACCCGGAGGAAAGAAGGTAACGTGGGACTCAATAGGCAGCCAATAATACTCTATTGCCAACCCCAAGCACTATTATCCAAAAACAAACAAAAAAAACCACCACACACCCAACTTCTGTCCTGTAAACCTCATTTTCTTGGAAATAATGGAATTTAAAAAGTAAAAATATTGGATTCTTTTTCTGGATCACCCAATGTTTAGATTTTTCAAAGCCCAGATTTTCAGCTTTTCCTTCCACTAAATGACTTCATTCTTTTATTCTTAAATGAAAGATGAAATTGATATTACTGAGCTCTAAAGAGGTAAGAAATATAAGATTGCCACACTGATAATGGCACCATGAAATGGTTACATTTTGACACCAATCTTGCTAAGCAGCAAACTAATTGAGAAGTTTGAGTGACCCTGAATCTCATCTCCTCCTTGGGGATCAGCATTTTTCAGGCCAGAACACAGAGGAAACCCCAGATTCGAATTAAGGATGAGACCGTAGTCGCCTGATGCACACAGGGGCGTCTGAAAACCAGCAGGGACATGGAGAACGCAGGGTAAGGGGTTCTGCTCAAATTCCCCTGCTGCCCCTTAGCTAATCCTCTCCGAGCTAAGTCCACGATCTCACTAACTCTCCTCCTTCAGAGCTATCTCTTGGCACTTCGGACAGCAAATGACGGTTAATACTGAGCGATAGGCAAAGACAACCCTGGTCCTTACCTACCTTCAGATAAAGATTTGACTGTCTCTCCCTTAATGCTTGTCTGTAACGCATGCTGGCACCAGCACTATGTTCACCTCTTCACTGATTAGTACAATGAGACCACAGTGCAGAGACCACAGGGCAGATAAGACCCTTCAGCTCCCTCATAATTAAAAAAATACCACAGAACAACAAAAATCATTCTGTTTCACTGCACGCCAGGTGCCATGAGGTCTACAGGGACATGCAGAGATATTCTGCAGACTCGCTGCCCACAGGCTTGCCTTGAGAGGTCAGATCCCCGTGCCTGTCTGCATGTGCCTCCTAACCAGGACGGTCAGCGAGGAGGTTGCGCTGCGAGGGGGAGCACTTCTGCCTGAGGCTGTGCTCACCGTCACACGCTTCAACAGAATAGATGGGCACTGGTTTGAAACTTTTGTAAAATGAGAAGTGCAAGCTGTGCACAGCACGCATGTGGAAGAACGAAAGAGAGCACGCTGTCATTTGTAATATATGATTACGCCCTGTTCTGGACTCCAACTTTGGGCTATCTACTGTTTTTGCAAGTCTGAGGTCGCGTTCTTGAGCAAAAAATGGCATGATTATGTGGAGGTAGTTATACAGATGCAGAATCACTGTGGGCACAAAGCAGAGAAAGCTGCTGCTTTGAGGTAGGGATATGAGATCAAGTCCTAGTGAGCAGCATAGGACTGATCTCAGTTATGTCAAGGTCAGGACTGCCCGCGCCTCCACCTACCCTAAGTTCTTACGCCATGTTAACTGCCTTGACGTGAAAACACATTTTTTTCCACAGTCAAAGCAGGGACCGTGGCAGTATCATGATCCAGCGTACTTGTTGGCAGATCACTCTGAAAAACTGCCCCACTATCATTTCTCAGTTCTCTTTGGAGCTGAAAGTCATAAACACTTAAGTTTGAGAAAAGATGACCACCTGTGTTTCTCATAATTAGGACAATCCTGTAATACCTGGAAAAGCTCCCAGTGGTTCTGCATAAGTATTTGCTGCATGCAAGAATAAAGGCACTTTTTAAAAAGACATCACAGGATTAGAAGGGAGCTGGAATGGGAACACAGAGCTTCCACAGAGGGTGGTCTGACTGCAGGAGAGCTCTTTAATGGGGCTTAGATATTTTGGTGCTGTGCTAAAAAATTCATCAGCATCACCTTGGCACATCAGGGCAGTTTGATGTCAGGAGCCAGTGGCTTAAATCCACTGTCCCTAACAGAAGTCCCCTGCATAGCACAGGCAGGAACTGTTACTTGGAATGGGGGACAGCCTTTATTTTGCTACAAACAGCAGATATGAAAGCTCGCCTATATCCCTAGCTGTAAAGCTGCGCTCCTGGAGTACAGCATTGCCAGGATAGGATCAGAATAAAGAACCACCTGGATTCATATGACAGCTTTGGTGAAGAAATACCTGCTGGCTTCCCCATGCGAGGTAAACACGGGTGCCACAGACCAAGACAGAGGTCCTGCATTTAAGTGGTGCAGTCTCCCAGGACACACACGGATACGAACCAAAGCAAAGCAGAGTATCTAAAATGAAAGCGCCTGTGTCAAGACATGGGATTTAATGGATTAGCGTAGGCCAAAGGTGGCCAGAGGCAAACAGTGACCAAATGTACCGCATCTCTCCTATCAGTAATAAACGTGGAACCAACTAACTCTCTCAGGGAGTGTGCGGGCATGCGGCTTTTCAGCTCTTAGGGGACAGGATGAGTTTTCCAATTCTCCCAGTAACGTGGAGTCCACTGCGTGGGACCTGGACTGCGGGGCAGTTCTCTGCATCCAAAACATAATGCAGTATCATGACAGCAGCATTCACAGACAGGCACATCGCAGCTATTAGAGCAACAGGGAAATAGCGACCTTATTCCACTGCTCTGGCTGATGAGGCCAAGCAGAGACAACACGCACAGGCCTGGGAGTGATAAGTCTGTAGCTCATCCAAAAAATTTCGGGGCCAGCATTAACGGGTTTGGAAGAGACTCCTTGTGTTCTTTGGCCTTTGAACAGTCATGGGAAGCAGCACATCAAAAGGCGCATAAGGAGGATGGGGGAGGAAAGACAGAAACTCAAGATTCCTGGGATCCAGCAGCAATTTGAGGGACAGCTGAGAGCACACGTTTACAGAGACTCTTCCTATCCTGCCATGTCACCAAGACCCACAAAGCTACCTCTCACAGGCGTGCCCATGAGGTGCGCCCTGGAGCTAGGTGGTTGTCTAACTGCACGGCATTCAACTACAGTGAGGTCAAGGTGGAAACAACACTCACATCCAATTATGAACTTCTTTCTTCTGGACTGTACATTGATGACACCTTGCAGGAGATCCCTTCACCTCAAAGGTTACTGCCTGCTCTCTAACCTAAAGGCTTTTATACCACACAACCTCCCCTAAATTGGGGATTATTGTGTGTGCAAGTACCACTTGGCTGTGCCTCACTCCTCCCACCTTGTTCCCTGACTCACAATTCAGTTCTGACCACGTAAGCCTTCAACTACTTCAGGCCCGTGCCTCGGCCAGGCTCTGACCCCAAGTACCTTCGTTGTCCAAAAGCTTTGCTGTCCAAAAGCACAGTTCTTTGGAGGGTATAACGCTAATTACACATTGCCACATGTTAATTAGGCAATGTGAGCAAATGTTTAGCAGGGATTGAGTGACACCAAATGCATTTTGTTTGTGACAAAAGCAAAATACGGACCAAGTCAGCAGATGTAAGCTAAGCAAGGCACCACTTCAACCCGTTTCTGCTTTCAGACAAATTCAGATAACTCCTTGGTTGGTTTGCAAGCCAAACGCTCAGGCCCGTCACAACCATCTCTGAGAGTTACTAGCTAACAGCTCTCTCCCTGTTGGCTAAGCTAGAAAGCAGCTGTCACTCTAAAACACTTTGCCAAACAAAACAAAGAGGTTCTCAGCAAACTGTTGTTCAAAGGCAGGACCAGCTGGAGAAGCTCCTAAAATCAGCCCTTCCCCACAAAGCTGTGCCCGCTTTCCCCTCTCCAAGGCCAGGAATGCATGGCATACTTACTGTGTATGGGGATGAGCCATGGACATGCTCCAAGGAGTACTGGCGACTGTATTTCGGCATGGAATGTGCTGAACTGCTGTCGTTCAACATCAGGGGACTGCAAAAGAATCCCAAAGACCACAGCAGTTACCATGCTGCTGATGCCAGGTCTCGGGCACTACCTCTCCCCAGCACAGAGACCGTTTCCCCAGCCCCCAGAACTGGGTCCTTGCACACACCTGAGGGGTCGATATACAACTGCCTCCAAGTCTGGAAGCCACGTGGGAGGGGCACGTGACCCTGGAGGGCGGTTGTGTCAGGAAAGCAGAGCAGCTGCCCAAGGACCGAGACCCAGTGACCAGCCCCTTGGCTACATTTTGCAAGCCTACTGACCAGAAATGTAAAACCTCATGGCCTTAGAGCCCTTCTTTATAGTTCCTGGTCACTTCCTTCCACAGGCCTCTATTGTCAATGTTCTGCCTGGCTTCAGTTTCTCATAGCCGACTGCTCGAAAGATGGATTACTTGTGGTCAGCTGTGACACAATCACTTCTGCGGCCCCTTTTCATGTACTCCAATACCTTGGAGAGACTCTCTTTCCTTACGAGATGAATCATTTCAGCATGTCTTGGACGTTATCACAATATAAACCACTATCATCATCAGTAATAATGAAGCCTGCTGTGGTGCTGCCTGCCATATGGTGCTGCCAGGCACTGTTCAAACACAAAAAGACAGCCTTGCAACTAGACAGGCAACACAGGACAAGATGGGGGCAGGAACAGCCATGCAGCTGAGTAACTGCAATTTCATACATGAACAAGTGCAAACAGTCAGGGGGATGAGGAGCCCATCTCACAGAATGAGACTAGAAGAGCAGGGTCTGGTTCAGCCCAGTGGAGCGTAAGATGACAGACAACAGGAGAACCATCTATAACAGCTTAGGAGGGAAAAGTAATTGTGCTACAGCACAATCCTGGGACAAAAACAAGTATTAACTGGCCAAAAAAAAATTAACCTGGAAACGTTCTTAACCACTTAAGGCACTTAAGTCCTGAACGGTCATCCAATACACCTAGCGAGGCCTGACAGGCTTGATTAGTTTATGAAGATGTCACAACAGCAGCCTGTGACAGCAGTTCAGGGCAGTTCAGTAAAGTGGCAAAAATGTCACGACAGTGCCAAGATACTGTTTGGGTAGTACAAGATCCCAGCCCTTGCTTCGTAGGTTGCAGTCTCACGTATTACAGTGGTTAGGTATGAAGCAGGCACTGCATGGGCTTATGTGGCCTGCATCGCAAACCCTTCTTGGTATCAGTTGCATAGCAGTGTTAGCTGTTTTTTGGCTGGAGCAAATACTTGAAGGCTCACATGATCCCAATGACCGCTGTCCAGTCCTACCCCACTGGCAAGGCTGCTACAGAAGACAGAGATCTGAGGGACCCACTCTGCTGATCCTCTCTTTATTCTCTCAGACAGGGAATCTTTATCTGGATGTAGAAATGCAGACTTACATCTTCCTCTTCACCCCAAGAATACGGTTGGATTGCACCAATGAGATCAAAAACTGGATAAGCTGTGAGGAGAAGCAAGAAAAACCTGTTACGATGCGCACAGCAACCTGGATGATCAAGGAGATAAACAGCTCTTCGGATCATTTGGTCCCTGTGCTCAGAGCAGTGCCAGAGGAGGGCACAGTGGGAACACGACAGACTGCTGACCACAACTCTAAGCACAAAGGTCAGGACTAGGGGTAAAAGCATTACACGGCAGCCAACTGAATTTTGCTTTGCAATACTGCCAGCCAGAATTTATCCTCTGCCCACTGGGTTTCCAGAATCCCGTGATATCAAGAGGAAATTGCAGTGATCAAAACTGTTCTTAAACAGAATTAATACCACCGCACTCCTCCAATCCTGCTAGTACCCAATCTCGTCACTACTTCATCACGTACGCTAACACGACAGCGTCCCAATCCCTCCACCTTCAAGACCAGGATTTACCTTATTGACAACTTTCTGCTGCTGAGCATGCTTCTGCCTCAGGCTGGCTACTTCCCTCCACAATGCCTCATTCTCACTGCAAGAGAAGAGAAAACCATCAAGAAGTGGTGCAGCCTCTCAGGCAGAGCACATAAAACCTGGGGTAAGTGGGAAAACTGTAGCAGGGGACTTGCCGACATCTCCAGATACTGGCTCATTTACAACCTCCTGGGGCTGGGGGTGAAATTTTATTCATTAACTTTGCTTTGCCATCATTTTAACTTGCAGAACTCCAGAAACAGCAGATATTCACACATGGGCAATAACACAGAGCCTTACCCAGAGAGAGAGCAGTTCACATCTGCTGGAAGCCATTATCGTGCCCTTGTGGAAAGGACCCTGGTGAACAAACTCAATCTCCTTGATCTAGCCCAGGTGCACACGGGGTGGGTTATAAATTGGCTTCTCTAGAGACAGGGTGGGGAAAGCCAGAGGAGGAGCTAGCTCCACGCCCCAGCAGAGATCTGGGCCGAGCCTGCTTTGAGCTCTGCCTGTAAAACCTTCGTGCTGAGGAGCTGCATGGCACCTACCCCTGAGATTTTCTCTCAAGAGCAGCAATTCCTAAGCTCCACATACTTTTTAGAACGCCGTATTTGGCTTTTCTACGCATATAAATCAAAATAGCGATGATCGTTTTGGGGTATTCTGTGAACACAAAAGACAACGGAAAAATTAGCAATAAACCTGCAAAATCTTCTCTTCTCCTGAAAGGTAGTAGAGATTCAAGGAGCTTATAAGTCAGACAAACGTCCCAGTTAAACCGTATGACTGCAGCACTGACACGATCTCAATGCCAGACAGTTACCCTGCAAGCAATCCAGACGTTTTAACCCTTTTTTGGATCCCCCCAAGCCTTTGTGGAATCTGTACTGCTGAAGCTGCAAAAATCTCTCTCTCTCTCTTTTTTTTTTTTTTTAAATGCCTTTACTTTTTCTTCATAGATTTTCATTTCCCCAGGACTGCAGAACTAGCTGCGACAAGGCGCTAGAGCCTCGAAGGGTTTCCCCTAGACTTCCCTAGAGGGGAGGAGCAGGACGACACACCGCGGAAGTCTACCCAGAAAGAGGTCACTCGCAGGCTCCTGTCTACGCTCTGCTACGATACAAGGACAAGATGAGCCCCCAGCAAAACAGAAGGGTAGCCAGCAACAACCCAGAAAGGAAAAACCAGTACAAAGTCTCTTTCACTTTCTGAAAACAGGCTCCCCCTCACTGATCGCTCAACTACAATTTCCGAGCAATGAAAACGTCCCCCCTCAAACGCGAGGGTCGTTCAGAGCTGCACAGACGGACGACCCTTTGCCTACGGCAGGGGCCTGAAGTTACAGCACAGCGTATTTCTGTATTTCGGCCATGGTGAGGAACGCTTGATCTTTTCATCAGCGAAATTAGGGTGGCCTAAAACACAGCTCAAAAGCGTGAGGCTGGATGGGAAGCAGCGACGCTGCTGCCCGTCCTAGCGAGGCAGTAGAGCTGCTCTTATCGCGGCGGCGCGGTCACCCGCCGCCTGCGCCCGCTCCTCGGCGCCGAGGCTTGCTGATCCGGGCCCCAGGGAGGACTTGGAGAGGTCTGTGAATCAGCCAGGCTTTCCCTGCCGCAGACCACCCGAAGACGGCAGCTAGCTTCGCCTCGGCCCAGAGAGGAGCGTCGGGAGCTTGCCGGGCCCCAGCAACAGAGAGGGGCACCCGAAATCCAAAGGGCCAGAGGGCTCAACCGAAGCCGCCCGGGCAGCGGCGAAGCGCTTTGGAGCAACTGCAAGAGGCCGAGGTCGAGCAGGCAACGAAAGGCAGAGGAACAAGCAGGGAAGTGCTCATTAGGCAGAGGGAGAGAAGCAGCTGGATAAAAGGCCCCCAAAGGGTTAAACTGACCCGAAAGCAGCAAGCAAAGCTTTAATACTTTCTTTAGCCCACTGTTTTATGAGGCAATTAAATGCTGGTGAGGAGTTTACAAGGGCTAGTTTCAAACATTTCATTTCAGGAGTTATTAAAAGATCTTCGAAGTGCTTTGTTTATACAAAGTTTTACAGAACTGCATAAACGGGACCCCTCTCCGCACCTGCCGCTCTTACAACGCCGCCCCTCGGGGAACGCCAGCCCTGTCGCACGCCCGCGCTGACGAGCGCTTAGCGGGGAAGGCGGCAGGACCGTTTCCGGGGGGGGCGGGACGAGGGCCGTTAGCCAAGGCCGCCCCAGACGAGGTCTGCGGCCCAGGCCCGCGCAGGGGCGCGTCTCTCCGCAGCAAAGGGTCACTGCACCTCCGTTTTACAGAGGAGACCGCCCGCGAGCAGCTGACAAGCCGAGCAGCGCGGGTCCCCGGTCGCAGAGGCTGCTGAGCTTGTCCTCCACCGTCTGCAGAGGGAGGGCGGTGCGTACGCCCACCTCGGCTAGAGCGCTGCCTCGACGCCAGAGGTCTGGAGGAAAGCATGGGCTCTCAGTACAAAATTCTGCGTTGGACGTAACTCTGCCTTCCCTCCCCCGGTCTCGCCCTCGAGTTCGCTAACGCTGGTGGGCAGGCGGCAGCAGCTGTGCAGACTATTCGGGGAAAACGGGCATCTTCTCAGAGAAGCCCAGCTTTTCAAACCGCTCAGTAAGCTGGTGCGCTTCTGCCAGAGAGACCACGGCCAAACACACAATAACATTTGTTATCTCCTGAAGCCAGGAGAGATGCTCATTTATCACCGCGGCTGTACAAGGGTCCTCCTGAGAAACGTCCAGCCTGTTTGAAAAGCAGGCTTCCTAAAGGAGCTTTAATTACCAACGTACATCCAGGAAAATGCTTGTTACTCCCCTCTCAGATAAAATTACTCTGGGTAAAAGCCATGTTTGACTTTACAGCTAGCAATTTTTGAAAGAGACGGTTATTTGCTATCCAATATTTTGCAGTTTAAACAAAATGCAGTCTTGCCAGCTCTCACGCTTTCATCAAGGCTGGGCCGCTACTTGGCATTTTTCTGAAAACCTAACCTCTGGATTCAGGTAATTACACAAGAAACTCATCTTCTTTTTTTATTCTGCTTGAAGATAAACTCTAGTACTCAGCTGCAGAAAGACGCTTGCAACTGTGCACGCCAGAGAGATTCAACAAGAGCGTGTATACAAAAAAAACCTCAATTTGAGTTTTAAAATCTCCTGCTTTGGAGGTTTGAACCCTAGGGACTCACGCTAACACACAGATAATTTTCCAAGAGCAGCATGTCATTGTGACCACTGAGTCACAACAGATGCCCACAGAGTTTGTATTTGAGCTTTCTTCCGCCCTACGGTATTTTTTGCCCCCTCGCACCATAAGGTGCTTCAGCAAGCAGCGGAAGCCTTCCCCGCGCGCTGCACAGATGCTCTAGAGTTTCCAACAACATCGTATTGAAACTAACACTTTTTCACCGAGCAAACCAATCCAGAGCCGAGGCTGAGGTCACAGACGCTTTGACTCTGCGCACTCATGTTATTTCAATACATTTTCATTTCACTCGAACAGCCCAAGAAGAAAACTCTCTGCAACTAAGGATCAATTTGTATTACTACAGTATATATATGTAGTATAATAGCATATACAGAAGGTGTAGATCAGGACTTGGTGCTGATTATCACTGTACAGACAGGCAGCACGTACCCATCCCTGGCTGCGGACATTACCAGCCAAATATAAATATTACACAAAGGAGCCCTCCACGTGCGACGGAGGTGGGGAAAATCCAGGAGGGCCCTGCACAGGGACACCTCTGAGAGGGCACATGGGCATCACCAAAGGGGTGGGTGAACCCACCAGGAAACCAGGAGGTGTTGGCCTCTGCAAGGCCAGCAGTCGGGTTTTGGAGGCTGGTGTCAAGGGCGAAGCGGGGAGCCTCTTTCTGCCGAGAACTCGCAAACCCAAACGCATCAGCACACATCAGTTAAGCTGCTGCAACAGCTGGTGTGTGCAGTCTTCGCCTATGGCTATGGCGAGGAGGGAACCCATGTTAATTTAGCCCTCTCTCAATGAGGCCTAAGCTAATTTGAATCACTTTATACCTGTCATAAGACAACAGCACACGCACAGGTAGAGACCACGTTATCAGCTGTTTAACAAGTTAGCCCATGGCATCCTGCCTCTGGGTCCAAGACCTGAGAGAGGAGAGTCAAAGGAAGGACAGGCCGGGGAGGACTCGGAAGGTGAAATGAGATGTCAGGATAACACAGCGAAGTCCTAGTCCCGGGGACCTGGCGACTGCTGGCTGCTCGGCATGCCTTGGCAGCCAGAGCGCGCACCGAAGCGAGGGCGCTGTGCAGGACAGGGCGCATCGGCGACGTCCGACAGCGGCTTCTGGGGTCAGCCAGGAAGAGCCCGTCGGAGATCGGGCCTAGAGAAGTTCCAGCAACGGGCGCAGAGCAGAAGCTTTACGACAGCCTCGCAGAGCCACCAGCGGGCTGGGGAACCAGGCGCGCTGGGGAAGGGCGGGAGTTCAGGAAGGTGCGAGGCACAAAAGCGTGGTTTTACTGCAAGGAGAAAAGAGCTAATAGAAAATAGGAGGTTAAAGAGAAGGAGGGGAGGTCTGAGAGTTACCATGAGGACCAGCAGGAGGCAGGACCCGTGACTAGGGCAAGCAGAGGCTGCTGTGCAGGAAAGCGCATGAGGAATTCCTGTGCACATCAGGAAAGGACGGAGGAGAAAAGAGCACAGGGAAAAGGAAGGCAACTTAAGAAGGGTCCTACTATGCCATATTTGCTTTTAAAAAAGGTGGCGGGGAGTGGTAAAGATCTTCATTCGGGATGATATGAGACCATGTGACAAGCCCATGGCAGATTATAAAGTCATGGATGCTATGTCCTCACCCAAGTTTCAGATGAGGCTGGCATTTTTCCAACCCAAATATATGCTGAAGTCCATTTACAGATGGCAACCCTCTTCTAGCAATCTGCACTTCCATGCCAAGCGATGAACCCTGTACAGCATTGTGTGCACAGCCAGTTACACAGGCGAATGATTTAAAGGTTTATCAAAACAAACCGACTGTGGCTTTCTTCTTTGAGAGCAATACTGAACTTGCACTGGGGCTCCTAAT